TTGTTGTGTGCTTCTTCCTTTTATTCTTATTCTTATTATTGCTTTGGAGAGGAGGGGAGGCGGAGGATACCCTTCAGGTGAGCGTGTTAGGCATCATCAGAGGGACAACTATGGATTATGGTGAATTAGAGGGCTGATCACTTGTCTGTAATAGGGTCAATTACCGGCCCAGTTACAAGTTTAAACACGATGAATATTGCGATGCGGGGTTCCTCGCACCGGCTTGTCGTACGACGAGGAGAGCTCGCTGGTATGCGGTGGTATTTGGACAATCGAGAGGAATTTTCCCACGCCAACGTCGTCCTCGCTATATGCCGACGTGATTCCTCTCGTTGACTTAACAGAAGACGAAGAGGGTTCGACGACAGACAATGACAATTGTGCAAGCACGAGTTTTTCTCCTTCCGCATCACCTGCACTATATATGGAATTGACGCAAAATATGCCTGACGAGGAAAGTCTATCGTAGGCGATAGATTTATTGTTTTGGGATTCGCCTTAACAATATTTGCGTGCATAGATGTGTGTGTGTGTGTGTTTGTGTGTGTTTGTGTGTGTGTGTGTATGTGTGTGTGTATGTGTGTGTGTGTATCTGTATGTGTATGTGTGTGTGTGTGTGTGTGTGTGTGTGTGTGTGTGTGTGTGTGTGTGTGTGTGTGTGTGTGTGTGTGTGTGTGTGCGTCTTGTATTAAGTGTTTGTACAATGGGAATATAAAAATAAAAGTATATATCTTACAACCAGTTTTATAATCCTTTTTACTTAATTGTATTCTTATCCCTGACACGGCGAGGGAGAGACAGTAATTATCGGTCATTAGCAGACCTGTTGTGTGACCGGAGGTGGGGGAGCGTTAGGGTTATCTCCCTATTTGTTATTGATTATGACAATTTCACTCATTAGGGTGATCCCTCGTCTGTAACAAGGTCAATTATCGATCCAGGCATAAGTTTAAACATGATGAATATTGCGGTGCGGGGTAGGAGGAAAGGCGGGTGCTGATGGAGGTGAGTCATCTGTAGCACTTGTCATCGGGTTGGATTATGAGTCTCATTCATTAGGAGGGCTGATCACTCGTCTTAACAGGGTCATTTATCGATCCAGTTACACGTTCAAACATTGTGAATATTGGGTGCGCTGAGGGAGGGTGTGGGAGAGGGGTGCTAATGTGGGTCATCTGTGGCATATTGTTTTAGAGAGGAGGTAAGGGGAGGGGAGGGGGTAGGGGGCTCATCTCCATTAGTTAATGATTTCCAGTTCTGATCACTGCTTATGATAATCACTTTATTTATGACTACTTTCTATTATAATGCGCCTTGTACGACCGTAACGTGTGCATTTTAGCATCATTAACTATGGTTAATGATACTGGCTACGGTTTTTTATTACGTCATGGTCATTGGTTACGTCAGTGACTTCCGGTGGTCATTAACCTACTTTCACACTCATGTACGTACGTGGGGTGAGTGGTTCCGTCCACCCACAGTCTACTTATGTATGTATATATGTATGCATATATGTATGTATGTTCGAAGAGAGTGCATTTAAGTGCATATATATATCTATAAATATATATACATATACATATATATATATATATATATATATATATATATATATATATATATATATATATGTATATATATATATATATATATATATATATATATGTATATATATATGTATATATGTATATATATATATATATATATATATATATATATATATATGTATATATATATATATATATATATATATATATATATATATATATATAATATGTATATGTATATATTTATATATGTATATATATACATATATACATGCATGTATGTATATATGTATATATATACATGTATACATATACATATTATGTATATATATATATATATATATATATATATATATATATATATATATATATATATATATATATATATATATATGTATATTTAAAGCTTGCGGCTTCCTTTTTGCTAGATGGCATTTAATTATATAAAAATCTTATGTTCAGTTCAATCAGCATTACTATTGAACCATCATTTGAGGCCTAATAAGAGAGATAAAGCAATGTCTTCAAGATCCGAGGCCCGAGCTATCCCACAGTCCTGTCTTCCTATAAATTCTACGTCAAATAAAACTACAAGCCCTAACTGTCCACAAACGTATACGTTATAAAATGGAGTACCCAGCAGATGGGGCAAATGAGCTAATTCATCTCTAAGAGACGAAATGAAATCCAAGCAAAGCTACCAGAAATTTCTGCACGCGGTGCGGCTCACCTCGGCATTACCATGGACGGAGGAACATCACGCCCCTTCGCCGTCTACCGCTTGACGTCACTGCATCAGGAGTATATAATGCCAATGAGTCGCTGCAGCTGCACCAGTAGCCATTCCGCCGTCAGCTGAAACACTTTGCCCCGATGGTTCTCTTCGCCCAACTCGTGTTTGTCGTGCTCGACGTCAAGAAGGACAAGAAACGCAAGCATGGTTGCCCTCCCGAGTGCCGCAAGCAGCGCTTCAGGGACCAGCAGGTATGTTGGCACGCCGATGCAGAAGCGTCAGTGACGCAGTTCTGAAGGAGAGTTTAGGTATTCAATTGCTTGAACTCCGTGCAGAGAAATTCAGAGTCGTTTATGATCCAGTATGTGAATGTTAATTGTCATTCTACTTTAGATTTATTTTCTTGCTTTGTTTTTATTTTTCCCTTTTCAACTATCTATTATTTTAGTTTGATTTTCTGCATTCTTACTGTTGATATCAATGATAAAACAGATAGGTTTTGATTGTATCAATTTTTCCCTCTGTTTCCCCCTGACAGTGCCATGGACAACATCAACAGTATAACGGCTGATAAAGGGAGAAGCGTCTATTGAAAAAAAAGTATTTTCTTCGGTCGGACATTATAAGACCCTGAATCTATGGTAGGTATATTTTGTGGAGAGAGAGAGAGAGAGAGAGAGAGAGAGAGAGAGAGAGAGAGAGAGAGAGAGAGAGAGAGAGAGAGAGAGAGAGAGAGAGAGAGGAGAGGAGAGGAGAGAAAGAAAGAAGGAATAACAACAAAAGTCCTTGACATAAAGCACTGTAACGTGACATTTTGTTCTTTCCAGATCAGAGCATTCGCAGTGCACGGTGATCGTTATTCCCTTAGCTTCGGAAGCCCTATTCACTCTAAAGCATGTGAAGGAGTTGCAAAAGCAGGCACAGAGATGGATGCAGCGAGCAGACATGATGAGCAAGCCCATCCCACCAGCCCGTGGAAAGCAAGGTCTTCATCGTAAATGATTCTTGAAGGATAGTTCTTATTCCTATTATGGACTTCTAAGGACTTTGGGCTGGAACTGGATAAACTTTCCTCCTATGAATTTCTGCAATTATTTTAGAATATTTGAGGGGAAAATGGAAAGCCTTAGACGCCTCAAAGGTGAATATAGAATGGAAGAGAAAAATGTAGGTCTCTATCTCAATAAAGTCTTCAATTGTCTTATTTTCACATTTTATACTTTTAAGACTATATAACTGACAGATCAAATGTCCAGTCTTTCTATCAAATAAATCTGAAATAAGGATTGACTATCTAATGATCCAATGATAAACAAACGATTTTATTCGCAGTATGCAAGAAGAATTTCATACGGATAAAATGTGATCAATTATTCCCTCTACAAATTTTACTGGCGGAACAAATAACTGAGTATTAGTTCGTATTGCTCCTCACCAACATGTAAGGTAATTAACAATATTCAGCGGTTCGTTATTCAAAGCCCTTTATAGTATCATGAGCAACAATGCCCATATGTGATTATTTCTTAAAAATATATAAATAAATGAATGAATAATGAAACTATAACATTATGTAACTGGTATCCTCTCTGTTAACCCATTCGCGCCGGGTAAAAATGAACAAAAAATGGGGGAAAATGCCGTGCTCAATTTTTATACTTTTTGTGAAATTTTTCTACACTAGATGGCTCTGCCTTACCTGATTTCATTTGGCGGGAAAATGTATTTTTACTATTACAGTGAATATCGATGGTTATTTTTATTATAAACATTATAATTACTATAATGTTAGTAACAGCAAAATAAGATAACGTATAATATTTTCGTAAATTAAAGAAAAGAGTAAACAGGCGAGACAGGCAGTACAAGTACAAGTGCAGCCATCTATGTCTGAAAACAATTAAACAAGTAAACTCACAGTGGGCCCGTCCCATATACGTGACACCCGGCGTGAATGGGTTAAAGAGACGACAGTACTGCATGTGTTGCAATAAATTCTGATCGTCATATTCAGTCATCATAGTGTTACTTATTGTTATTTACAGTGTCGACGGACTTACAATTGATATCTTTGAATAAATGATTTTGGAATGACCTGTATATCTTTCTTAAATGCCTTGTACTAATATTCAATAAAATTATGGTACAAACCAAATCATAGATGCCAATGTCTATATGTCTATATGGCATTTCTTTTATGTGATTTATATACTCTGCGTATCTGTTGATGCCATTATTAGATAGTGTGTTCCATAAATGAAAATTAAAATTCCCATGCTGAATTTTTTCAAAATTCAAATGCAGGGTAGCGTTCATTTTGCTGTGATCAGTGTTTGACCGCATTTTTTTTTCTTTTGTGTGTGTGTGTGTGTGTTTATCACCAGCTTCAATAGCAAATATGAACAATTTATGATTTTTTTTTAAAGCAGTTGCTTAGTAAATCTTATAATACTATCAATATGGTAAAAGAATGAAAATACCAAATGCACTATGTACTGAGGCTCAGTCTTTGGTTAATTGTGTTTTGATAGCGACTTATCTTTCTAGGGAATATCAAAAACTGAATAGAATAGAAAATCATGAATTGTTAATACATTATGAATAGAATAGAAAGGCATGTATTATTTGAATATATATTACTTTTCTATATTTTACTCTGTGTGAGTATATTAAAAAAATATAAGATTGCGTTAGTGTAATAAAAAAGGATTTTAAAATTTAATCTTTTCAAAACAGTTTTATTTATAAAACAAAACACATGAATGTATCACAAAAACAGAGAAAAGAATAAGAATCCCAATGACCATAAATAGAACATCCACTACGTAATGAATTGCAAACTAAACCATTGATAATACAGTGAACTGTCCCGCTGAACACGATATTCAACGTTCACGTTAGACTAAGATCTAGGTAAGTGATCAGTATATGTCGGTGTTAGTTTTGTCGGATACAAATACTGGTAATGAATAGCGAAGATACTTCCGCATTCCGCTGGGAATGTCGATTGCTATTATACTGATCAAGATCCTTCTTGAAAGAAATAATTAAAGTATACAATATGCTGCGTGTCAATCTGGTCCAAGCCCGCCATGGTTATGGACGAGGCTTAGGGAGCAGCCCGACGGATCCAGTCCAAGACAGCACGTTCACCAAGCCAGTTAAAGCGTCCCTTCTCGTTCGGATGGGGATTTCAGCAAGCGTCGCCGGCGCGGTCTTGGAATCAACAACGTTAGAAGAGTCTGTCGACCGGCCATCGATCTTGGAAAAGGTAAAGGATACCTTTGCGCTCCTTAAAAATTGCCCTTTGGCTTCATTTTCGTTTTCTAAAAGTTCCGTGAAGCCCCCCTTTGGGATGAGGAACGCATTGCGTCCTAAACAGGCCATGTACCCTGGGTCACTGTGGGCCAGCCAGCAGTTGGTGTACCCAGGGAGGGGCTCGGCCGTAATGCCTGTTTGCTGCGTCATACAGAGCAGGTCATGTAGCTCGAGCTCAGTTCCATCACCAGGATGGATGGCATCAGGTTCCCACATATGTTTAATCTCCTCTACAAATGTTCTAACCTGCAAGAGTTGAAGTAATTCTTTTTAAACGTCCATGTCATAAAGATTTTTTTTCAGATTCTAAAACATCCAACTATATCAGGTTGTGCTGATTAAATGCAGTTTAATATTGCTTACCTTAGAGAGAAGGTCAGTTAATTTGTTAAAGAAGATAATAGAAACTCCTTGCATGTAAGGCTCTTTGATGTCTTCAACTATTGTGAGGACGGTAACGTTCTTGACCCTGCAAGGAGACAGAATTAAGGAATTACATAAACTGCCGTGAAGGCACATTTTGATAAATAGTTTGTGTGAAGTCTAATATATCTGAGAATCGATAATTGAAGGGAGAGAGCGAGATTGAAATTATTTATGCAATGAAACGCATTGCCCAGGGAATGTCAATATGTATATCTCTGCAAACACTTTCATATTAACAATAGAACATTAGCGTGTTGCGTACCTGCGGGTCCCTGAAGCGCTGCTTGCGGCACTCGGGAGGGCAGCCATGCTTGCGCTTCTTGTCCTTCTTGACGTCGAGCACGACAAACACGAGTTGAGCGAAGAGAACCATCGGGGCAAAGTGTTTCAGCTGACGGCGGAATGGCTACTGGTGCAGCTGCAG